TTTTTTAGATACATAAATGAGAAAAGAAAAGCAAAACAAGGATTAGTTAGATTAAAAACAAAAGAAGGAAGGTATGTAGAAGAGGATAAAGGTCAGGCTGACTGCCTCAATGAATATTTTTTGTTCTGTATTTACAGAAGAAAATGAAGGAAAGGGACCTCAGTTGAGAAAAAGGAGAAATGAGTCATTTATTACACGTGAGTTTACAGAGGAAGAGGTTCTATTTCAACTGTCAAAAGTAAAGACAAATAAGTCAATGGGACCTGATGGAATACACCCAAAGCTATTAAAAGAGCTTAGCGGTGTACTAGCAAAACCATTAACAGATTTATTTAACCAATTGTTAAATAGGAGTTAACAGGAGTAGTCCTAGAAGATTGGAAGTTAGCGAATGTTGTGCCCATTTACAAGAACGGTAATAGGGAGGAGTCGGGCAACTATAGGCCAGTAAGCCTTACTTCAGTAGTGGGGAAATTGATGGAAACCATGTTAAAGGATAGGATTGTTGAACATCTAAAAACACATGGATTTCAAGATCAGAGACAACATGGATTTACTTCAGGGAGATCATGCCAAACTAATCTTATTGATTTTTTTGATTGGGTAACTAAAACTATAGATCAGGGTGGTGCAGTAGACATTGCTTACCTAGATTTCAGTAAGGCTTTTGACACTGTTGCACATAGAAGGCTTATCAATAAACTGCAATCTTTAAGTTTGGATTCCAATATTGTTGAATGGGTAAGGCAGTGGCTGAGTGACAGGCAACAGAGGGTTGTAGTTAATGGAATATATTCAAGCTTGGACTTGTCACCAGTGGGGTACCTCAGGGATCTGTACTTGGACCCATTCTCTTTAATATTTTTATTAGTGATATTGCAGAAGGTCTTGATGGTAAGGTATGTCTTTTTGCTGATGATACTAAGTTATGTAACAGGGTTGATGTTCCAGGAGGGATAAGCCAAATGGCAAATGATTTCGGTAAACTAGAAAAATGGTCAGAATTGTGGCAACTGACATTTAATGTGGATAAGTGCAAGATAATGCATCTTGGACATAAAAACCCAAGGGCAGAGTACAGAATATTTGATAGAGTCCTAACCTCAATAATTGAGGAAAGTGATTTAAGGGTGATTATTTCTGATGACTTAAAGGTAGGCAGACAATGTACTAGAGCAGCAGGAAATGCTAGCAGAATGCTTGGTTGTATAGGGAGAGGTATTAGCAGTAGAAAGAGGGAAGTGCTCATGCCATTGTACAGAACACTGGTGAGACTTCACTTGGAGTATTGTACACAGTACTGGAGACCGTATCTTCAGAAGGATATTGATACCTTAGAGAGGGTTCAGAGAAGGGCTACTAAACTGGTTCATGGATTGCGGGATAAAAACTTACCAGGAAAGGTTAAAGGATCTTAACATGTATAGCTTGGAGGAAAGACGAGACAGGGGGGATATGATAGAAACATTTAAATATATAAAGGGAATCAACACAGTAAAGGAGGAGACTATATTTAAAAGAAGAAAAACTACCACAACAAGAGGACATAGTCTTAAATTAGAAGGACAAAGGTTTAAAAATAACATCAGGAAGTATAACTTTACTGAGATGGTAGTGGATGCATGGAATAGCCTTCCAGCTGAAGTGGTAGAGGTTAACACAGTAAGCATGCGTGGGATAGGCATAAGGCTATCCTAACTATAAGCAGGGACGGACTGGACCCACCGGGATACCGGGAAATTTCCCGGTGAGCCGTCGGCATCTGGGGCGTATGGTGTGTATGGTGTGTGTGTGTGTCTGTTATCATGTCTGTCTGTATGGTGTGTGTGTGTGTCTGTCTGTGTTATCATGTCTGTCTGTATGGTGTGTGTGTCTGTGTTATCATGTCTGTCTGTATGGTGTGTCTGTCTGTCTGTGTCATGGTGTCTGTCTGTCTGGTGTGTGTGTGTGTGTCTGTCCGTGTCATGGTGTGTGTGTGTGTGTCTGTCCGTCCGTCATGGTGTGTGTGGTGTGTGTGTCTGTCCGTCATGGTGTGTGTGTGTCTCTGTCAGTCATGGGGTGCGTGTGTCTTTGTCAGTCATGGGGTGCGTGTGTCTGTCAGTCATGGGGTGCGTGTGTCTC